CTCTGCCCTCCCTCTGCCGCCCCGACTGCACCCACCTGTCGTTGACGAAGGAGAACATGAGCAGCCTCTGTTCGATGAACCACTTCCACTCCGGGTTCTCGCTCTGCAGGTCCCGGTAGTTGTCATTGGAGACGATGACGCCGTCCTGCTCGAAGGCCACCTTCACGATGTAGCGGTCGTCGTAGCAGACCACGCGCTTGCCGCTCACCCTGCGGGACGGCGTGTACACCAGCACGGCCTGCCGCTCCAGCTCCTCCAGCACGTGGGGCTCTGCGGGTACCGGGTGGACACAGCCGCGGTGCTCAGACCACGCCTCCCGCTCCGGCCTCGCCCCTTGCCCCCCCAGCCCGTCCCCCGAGCCAGCCAGGGACAGAGCCGCTTCTCTGAGTCCTAAGAAGTTACGCTAGCTACGTAGTGGCTGGCGTAGAGCTTATGCATGGGCCTGCAATCCAGAAGATCAGCGGTTCGAAACTACCAGCCGCGGCGCGGGAGAAAGTGGAGGCTTTCTACTCTGTAAAAGCCTCGGAAACCCACGGGGACAGTTCTACCCTGTCTATCGGCGAGTCGCCACCATTGACTCGAAGGCAGTGAGGTGAGTGAATGGTAACGGAATTTACCGCGATGCGCAGTGGACAGTGCACACAGTTATCACACTGGGCTGCTGGTGGAAAGGCTGGAGGTGCAGGTCCACCCAGAGTGTCTGGGAAGCAATCGTGGCCTGGTGAGATACTTCCTTTAGCACTCTCCGGAGCCCAGTTCTACAACGATGCACATGAGTATAACCGGGAACAATGGCAACTGGCTAAGCCCGCGCAGGCAGCGGGCATCTGACAAGGGAGAGTAGCTGTGGGAGGACCTGCCACAAGGCCCCTCAAAGGGTCAGGAACCCATCACAGTGGGCACAAGCGGTCTCCTTTAATAAGGCAGGACAGTAACAGTAGGGAGGTACACATAACACCTTAGAATGACTGCCCGTTTGGAATCAAATAAACAAATCTTTGATAAAAGATGGGCCGGAAAAGTCAAGGGAATCTCCCAGAATCACCAAGCCCTCCCTACCACCTGTCTTGGAAGAAGTCCTGCCAGAATGCTCCTTAGCATCAGGGATGACGAGACTTTGTCTAATTCACTTTGGGTGTGTCAGGAGAGACCGGCCCCTGGCGGAAGACATCATTCTTGGTAAAGTAATGGGGCAGCGAGAAAGACGAAGGCCTTCAACAAGATGGCTGACCCAGTGGCTGCATTGACCCAGGGCGGGAGCAGAACAACCCTGAAGATGGAGCAGGGCTGGGTGGTGCTTTGTCCTGCTGTACCCAGGGTCGCTCCGAGTTGGAACTGACCCGAGAGCATTAACAACAGCAACAACGCCGGGGTTACGTCCCATGTGGGAGGGAGTCCCCTGCTGTGTGACCGGCCAGGATTAAGGTGAGACATATTCCAGGTAGCGTCTTAGTGGAGGGTGTGAACCTAGTCAGCACCCCTTTGTTTCCTAGAGGTTTTGATCTGCTCATAGATAAAAAACGACCTCCTCGGCGAACGCCACGGAGGAAGCTTTGTTCGGGCCTTTTCTCCCCACCGCCGTCACGTGGAAGTCAGAGTCTCCTAAGGAGCCGAACAGCTGCGGAAACTCTTTATCGGAGGACTGAGCTTTGAAACAGCAGGTGAGAGTCTGCGGAGCCATCGTGAGCCACGGGGGCCCTTCCGGACTGTGTGGCGATGAGAGACCCAGAGGCTGTGGGTCTGTCCCTACTCCACTGTGGAGGAGGTGGACGCAGCCATGAACGCACGGCCACACAGGTAGATGGCAGAGTCGTGGAACCCAAGAGGGCTGTCTCCCGAGAAGACTCGCAAAGACCAGGCGCCCGCTTAACGGTGAAAAAGATCTTTGTCGGTGGCATCGAAGAAGACACTGAGGAGCACCACCTACGAGAGGACTTCGAGCAATATGGGAAAACTGAAGTGATTGAAAGCATGACTGACCGAGGAGGCCATGGCAAGAAGAGAGGCTTTGCTTTTGTGACTTTTGATGACCATGACTCCGTAGATCATATTGTCATTCAGAAATACCACGCTGTGAGTGGCCACAACTGTGAAGGACGGAAAGCCCTGTCGAAGCAGAGATGGCCAGTGCCTCCTCCAGCCAAAGAGGTCGAAGCGGTTCTGGAAACTTCGGTGGTGGCCGAGGTGGCGGTTTCAGTGGGAATGACAACTTTGGTCGGGGCGGAAACGTCAGCGCCGTGGTGGCTTTGCTGGCAGCTGCGGTGGTGGTGGATATGGTGGCAGTGGGGGGGTGGATATGGTGGCAGTGGGGAGTAATGCTGGTGGTTATGGAGGAGGCTCTGGTTACTCTGGAGGAAGCAGAGGCTATGGAAGTGGTGGGCAGGCTTATGGAAACCAGGGCAGTGGCTATGGCGGGAGTGGCAGCTATGGCGGCTTTGGCGGTGGTAGTGGAAGCAACTTTGGAGGTGGTGAAAGCTACAATGATTTTGGCAACTACAACAAGCAATCTTCCAATTTCGGACCAATGAAGGGAGGGAACTTTGGAGGTAGAAACTCTGGTCCTTACGGTGGTGGAGGTCAATACTTTGCCAAACCACGAAGCCAAGGTGGCTATGGTGGCTCAAACAGTAGCAGTAGTTATGGCAGTGGCAGAAGATTTTAAATGACTACCAGGAAACAAAGCTTAGCAGGAGAGGAGAGCCAGAGAGGTGACAAGGAAGCTACAGGTGACAACAGATTTGTGAACTCGGCCAAGCACAGTGGTGGCAGGGCCTAGCTGCTACAAAGAAGACATATTTTAGACAATACTCATGTGTATGGGCAAAAGAACTTGAGGACTGTATTTGTGACTAATTGTATAACAGGTTACTTTAGTTTCTGTTCTGTGGAAAGTGGAAAGCATTCCAATAAGGGGTTTTAATGTAGTTTTTTTTTCTTTTTTCTTTTTTTTTTTTTGCACCCATGCTGTTGATTGCTAAATGTAATGGTCTGATCATGACGCTAAATAAATGTCTTTTTAAATGTGCTCTGTAAAGTTAATCTACTCTTAAGCCATCTTGGTATAAACTGCCTGACAGTGTGAAGTGTAGACGCCGTTGAGGGCGGTGCCAGGTTGATCGGAAACATCCCTACAAATAACGTGAAGACTGCTTGGGCAGAGGAGCCGCTGTTGCCAGAGACCTTGGTTGTTAGTTGCACTGGCAGTTGCTGTTTTGTAACCTGGAGTTCACCATTAAAAATGGTCACCCAAGCAAATTAATTATGTTTACTTGGTTATAAGAAATGGTTTTTGGCACATCCTATGCAACAGATCTAAATTGAATAATGGTAGCAGATAAAATTACAGATGGAGTTGGAACTTATGTATCATCCATTATCATGTGTAATCAATAAACAATTTAATCTTGGGGGGGAAAAAAACGACCTCCTCATCAAAGCCATTCCTGTAAAAGCCATCCCAAAAGTCCAGCGAGAAATCCTAGAACCATTTACAGAAGAGCCACCACTGCAGCGGGTTCGAGATCTCCGTCTGAAGTGAGGGAGACGAGAGACACCAGAGGCTGCAGCACGGAGACCATGGGACAGAGCAAGCAGCCTAGACCAGAGCCAGAGGCCGGGCGAGCATGAGACAGAACCGGAGAGCAGCGCTGAGATTAGGAGACAGATTCGGCAGAGCAGCGGGCTGGTTTCCTGGCCCCCAGAGACAGAAGCCAAGGAACCATGTGGCTGAGAAGTTCAGAGACTTGGCTGCTGACTGAGGAGCGGCGCTCCTATGGACCAAAGACTGTATCCTGACTGCTTGTTGATCCTGACTTTGGTAGTCTGGGAACTTTCCTAAGAAACCCTCCCCATCACGAGTGTTGTCTGTGAGTTCTGCAAACCCAGCAAGAGCGTAGAGTGCCCTCAGAGGCACACTTGTCGCAATGGAGTAAAGAGGAGCGGATGGTGGAGGCAGGTCTGACCGCTGCTTTACGGCAAGTGGCTAAAGTTGGGCTCTCCTTAGCCAGAAGAGGTCAAAGAGGGTCCCCCTGCCGTGAATTCACTCTCTCGAGGCACAATATTGCCAAATTGTTTTCCAAAGCGCTTGCATCCCCTTAAGCACCCAGCAGAGCAAGAGGACAGATGGGTCAGAATCAACTCAATGGGTTTGGTTCTTGGAGGTTTCCCGACACTTGGCATTTTCAGAGATGGGGATGTGTGCCAACCCGGTGGGTGAAAAGGGGCCTCTTACTGTGGTTGCAGCTTGCAATGCTCTGCTTACTGATTGGCTTGGGCATCTTTTTGAAGATTTGGGCCACTGATGTTTCCTGTGAGAGGCCTAGTGATGCCTGTTCTGTTGGCTCTTTGGCTTTGTCTTCTTCGCTGGGAGAGGTTCTCTGTAGCTTCTGGGCAGTAACCCTTTGTTGGTGCTACAGGACCTCTCCCAGTTTGAGACTTGTGTTTACATAGTGTGACTTGGATGGTCTCCATTCGTAAAGATCAGCTTCGGTCTTAATGTAATTAAATGCATTCATCTTTGCTCCATGCAAGGCCATGGCTTGCTGCAAAACTCCTTCTCTACCCCGGCGTGGTTTCCTTCTCTTCACCAAAGTATTTTCAAATATTACACATCTGTGGAAGGCCGCCACTCTCCAGGTGACCACCGTAAGAGATTATTTGGGGCAACCAGGTCACCATGGAAAACTGAACACAAATATCTGTTCCCCCTCTTCCTGAAAGTCCCACTGAAGTGAAGTTATGATGTTCAAAAGCAGGCGGTGGACCCATAACCACATTAAAAGGGGGCTTGAGGGCAGCAGCAAAACCTAGGATTTTGGACAAATTTTAGGAAGACCAAAGGGTTGGGATTTTATCGATAGAGATACTTTAATGTGTAGGGAGCCACGCCCCAAAGGTGTGTAAAAGGATGGAATGAGGTGGGAGCCATTTTACCTGAAAAGTCCCAGAAGCCTATGGAGAAGGAGTGGGGAACCAGCAGAATTGGGAGGACAGACTGCCTGTAGGCCAGCTGTGTCCAGGGGTCTGTGCTGCCTCTTTCCCTCCCCTTGGCCTAAAACCACCATACATAACATGAAGCTAGAGCTAGGAAGTGGGAAGGCTCTCAGCATGGCTGGAAGAAAACTAGCATCATGTTGACCTTGGGCTCGGTAGCAGACACAGGTGTCCAGCTGCCTGTCTACCCTGGCCGGGGTCTACTACACATGGGCATCACTGCCACTCCAGGGAAGGCCCACAAATGAACAGGGAAAACCCATGCAGCCATGAATACTTTGAACCAATCGATTTTTTATTCACAATGGATCACCAGACTTTTGAGAGGAGGACTCAGCAGCACGTGCACACAGGAAGGACTGAGAGGAACAACAAGAACTAGATGCGAGGCATGGAATTCAACAGAACGTGTTTGTGTTGGGTTTGGGTTTAGATTTTTTTGTTTGACTCTATTGTTGTTGTTGGCTGCCATGGGATTGGTCCTCAACTCAAGGGGACCTCGTGCAAAACAGGACCCAGCTGTTGGGATCCTCAGGGTTTCCATTGACTGCTTCGCAGGGCCTTTCTTCCTAGCCTGTCTTATCCTGGGAGCTCCACGGGAGCCTGTTCAGCATCAGATGAGTGGTGGCTGCCCTCGAGGGACCCTGGTCAGGACTCAGACCCAGGTCTCCTGCGTGGAAGGCAAAAATTCTACCACGGAACCGTCACTGCCCTCTGAAGTCGTGTCAGAAGAGTCAAGAAGATACAAGACTAGCATTTTAGTTTTTAGACAGACGAAGAAGCAATTGGTAACCGTTGTCAAAATAAAAAGCAAACAAATTTTGATGAAAGACTGAAAGAAAAAGTCAAGAAAATCTACCAGAATCACTGTAGTAGTGCCATAATCTGTTGTCAATTTGAGACTATTAAAAGTGACGGGGTGGAGTTTATCCTGTCAATCAGGTTGCAGCTTGATGACTCATTTGGTGGCACTAAGGAGATAAATAACTCGCTGGAGATGGGACACAAACTCACTCCCTGGGAAATATTCCACCTGACAAGACACATGCTAATGCCCTGAGCGGAAGAAGCCACGTAGAGATCCCTGCCAGCGCTGAGATGCTTACACTGCCACTGGATCCACAGGACTTTCCACCCACTGGTCTGTGGATCATCCTGCATTCGGCGTCATTGCATGTGTTTCGTGAGTCTGACGAGGACTTTATAGATTGGTATCCGACATATGGACTAATATCAGACTTATGGACTTGACCTGGACTGGGCTGGGCTGTTTTCTCAATATTCAATTGCTCTTGTATATAAAGCTCTTTCTTAAACATTTATGAGTTTCCCTGGATTTGTTTCTCTAGTCTACCCACACTAACACAGTCACAAAGAAGCCCACCCTTCTATCTCTGATGCACTGAAACAATACCACAATGGTTTGCCATCTGACGACATTCACAGAAAGGAAGCAAGAAACAACAAAACACTGTCTAAACCACAGTTTCCTATTCTCTGTAGCTTAAAATAATCTAAGCGATACAAGGACAAAAAAATGAAAATTGCACTGAGTCTCAGTTTCTTTCCTGTTCTTTTTCTTCTTAACTAGAGGCTAGATATAAGGAGACCAGGTGGCATAGTGATTACTCATTCAGCTACTAACTGCAAAGTCAGCCCCAAGGGAGAAAGGTGGGGGCTCTCTACTCCCATAAAGAGTTACAGTCTTGAAAACCCACAGGGGCAGCTCTACCCTACCCTATAGGGTCACTATGAATTGGCATTGACTCAACGGCAGTGAGTTTGGTTTGATTTTGGAGAGGCTACATATATATTAAGGAGGTATAGTGGTTACACGTTGGGCTGTGATCCGAAAGGTCAGCAGTTTGAAACCACCAGAAGCTCTGCAGGGGAAGGACAGGACTTTGTACGCCCATAAACAGTTGCAGTCTCTAAAACTCAGAGGGACAGTTCGACCAGTCCTGTAGAGTCGCTAAAAGTTGGCATCAACTCGGTGGCAGTGAGACATATATCAACTTGGTGAAAAGGGAAGCAAATAGTTTAATTGGTAGTTAAAATGCAAATAAATAGATTAGACTAGATACACATTGCATAAATATTATCTGAGGGAATGGCTTGATGATGTGAACCTCCTGGGGGTGGGATGCAGGTTTATTCTTTCTGGAGAGAGCTAAAAGTCCTAAGGCATGATTAAAGAAAAAAATTATTGTTGACACCAGAAGATGGGCTCATTTGTTCCTTCACTATTTAGTATCTATGTGTAGAGCACCTGCACGACGACAGGTACATGCTGGGAGCAAGGGTGATAACAGGACACATCATAACCAGTGTCTCCATGGAGCATAGAATGCAGAGAGGGAGTTAGACCCCGTTAAGCAAACAAATAAATAGATGATTGGCTACAGTTGCAAAGAGTACGAACAAGGGGGTACCCCCCCAAAACTGAATTTCCCCCCCAAAGCTATGTATTTTTTTTTTTACAAAATAACCTTATCACCTTCAAAGTGCTCTCCATTATGCTTAATACAGTTGTCAAATCTGTGATTCCATTCTTAGAAACACTTTTCAAACTCATCTGCTTGGATGCTGACAGCACCTCCCTTGTTTTTTTCTTCACCTCTTCTATGACGTCAAATAGCAGTCCTCTAATGTCCCTCTTCATTTGCAGAAACAAAAAGAAATCACACAGAATGAGGTCAGGTGAGTAAGGTGTGGGGGGCAAGAGATGCATGCTGTTTTTTGCCCAAAGCTGGCACACTGAGATGATTTCATGAGCAGGTACATGGTCATGGTGGCAAAACCAGGCCCCCATCTGCCACAAATCAGGCTTTTTCTGTTGCACATTATTACAGTATGTAATCTTTTCAGAACCTCTAAATAGAAAGCTTGATTAACACTCTGACCTGAGGAACAAACTCCAAATGCACTATCCTCTTCATATAAAAAAAAAAAAAGAGTGGGTAAAGGGAGACAGCAAGGGGTGAAAAATATGAAAATAAAATAATTTATAAATTATCAAGGGTTCATGAAGGTAGGAGGGTGGGGGAAGGAGGGGAAAAAGGAGGAGCTGATACCAAAGGCTCAAGTAGAAAGAAAATATTTTGGCAATGATGATGGTAACATATGTATAACATATGTGCTTGATACAATTGATGTATGGGCTGTTATAAGAGCTGTAAGAGCCCCCAATAAAATGATTTATTAAAAAAGTTTTAAATGAGCAATGTCTTGATCTTTGATTTCACTTGAAGAGCTCCCCACCCCTCAGGTGATGATGGTGTCTCCGACTGGCTTCATGTTTGGTTTCAGGGCCAAGTTGCACCATGTCTTGTCACCAGTAATGACCTTGGGGAAAAGTCTGGGTCACTTCAGAGCTGTTATTTCAAAGCACGACATTTTCCACTCAACGCTCCTTTTCCTGGTTAGTCAGAACCCAAGGCACAAATTTCACAGCATCCCTTCTCATTCCCAAATCTTCCATTAAAATTCATTGAACCGAGCTCCAAGACAGTACAGATAACTTCCCCATCTCTTCGATGGTCCGTCATTAGTCTTTGAGCACAAAAATTTTGTCGACATTTTTGTCCATTCGGGAAGCTGATGAATGTCCAGAACGAGGTTTGTCATCAATCAACTCTTTTGAAATGAGAAAACCACTCGTACACTTGAGTTTTCCCATAGCACTGTCCTTGTACGCTGTGTTCAACATCACAACAGTTTCTGCAGCATTTTTCCTGAGCAGGAAACAAAATTTCACAGCCACCTGCTGTGCTCTTAAGTCAGCCATCCCAAAACCCGAGGTTTGAGCGAAACTGCTTTCACGAAAATATTCACTGTGACCAGAGAGAACCTTCCCAGGCAGGATCCCACTGTGTGCACTAAGTCAGAGCAAGTTACTGGATGCTTACCTAGCAGGAAAAATGCATACTACGTTTCCATTTTGGGGTGGTGGGGGAGAGAGGGAGGTAAACCCCTCATACCACAGAGGAAAGGTGGACAACCACATGGGCATACCTCTGATGGGGGCGTCAGATCTGGATGGCTCTTTCCTCCAGGATGGAACAAAAACCTTGATGGAGGTGTGTCCTCTGCCCCGGAACCAGTCCACAGCCAGCTGGATGCCCCGGCAGGAGAAGGCTTCTTTGTTTCCATGACTACAAGGGGGAGAAGAAGAAAGCTGTGGAGACACAGAAAGGATCCCTAAAGAGTGGTTTTCCCTGAGACCATTCTAGACCATGGGCATAGAATCAAAAGGATCCAGGTAAATCTGTCTTTAAAAAACGGTTTATTATTTGCACGCAGTATATTCCTTTATCTGGAAGCAGGTGGCTTGTGATAACTATGAAGAGGGTCTCGGGCCCCAAGGGGAGTTCCAAGGAATAGTTGGTCAGCTCCTCTCACTTAGCTGACCTTCCAGTTAGCAGCCCAACACATAACCCACGACACGACCAGGGCTCCTGGGAGAATTATAAACTCTAACGCACTGCCACCGAGTCAACGCCAGGTCATGGCAACCCTATGAGACGGGGGAGAACTGCCCGTGTGTTTTCCGAGACGTTAACTTTTAGCAGGAGCAGGAAGCCCTGTCTTTCTCCCGAGCAGTGGCTCCTCCTTTCAAACTGCCAACCTTGTGGATCCCGGCCCAACTAGAAGGATTTAAAGATGGAAGGACACGTGATGTGACGTAGTTTTTAGGCTTCCAAAAGCTCACTGGGGCAGCAGAGCGAATACATCAGAAGGAAGCAGGGGTGAGTTTGGGGCGGCAGTGAAGGAGCTGGTGGAGTGGTCAGTCAGTAACAGAGGCTTGCACCAAGCTGGTGGGAGATGATGATGGAGCGTGGGGGAACTGGAGAGGTATCTTTTTACAAAGCAACATTTCCAGAACTTGGTGGTTGACCGGCGATGGGGACGATGGAGAAGAAGCTCTCACAGATGTTTTCCGATCTCCGGTTTAACCAGCAGCTGGCCACTGAGACAGGGGACAGACTTTAGAGGAAGAGACGGAAAGCTGAGTTTGGGACACAGTGAATAGGGAGGACTCTGTGACCTGTAAGTGGGAATGACCGATGAACAGCCTTCCTTTGAAGGCTCAGAGGACAGGTTGTAATGATAACATTGTGGCTCATCTGTTGTGAATAATGACTGAGACCACAGTGTAGACAAAATTGCCTGATTGCCTGGGGAGAGAGTGAGTGGCCTCAGGCTAGACCTTTTTTTTCTTTTTAATCATTTTATTGGGGGCTCATACAACTCTTATCACAATCCATACATACATCCCTTGTGTCAAGCACATTTGTACATTTGTTGCCATCATCGTTCTCAAAACATTTGCTTTCTACTTGAGCCCTTGGTATCAGCTCTTCATTTTCCCCTCCCTGCTCCTCCCTCCCTAATGAACCCTTGATAATTTATAAATTATTATTATTTTTTCATGTCTTACACTGTCTGACGTCTCCCTTCACCCACTTTTCTGTTGCTCATCCCCCTGGGAGGGGGTTATATGTAGATCCTTATGATTGCTTCCCCTTTCTCCCACTCCTTCCCCTTCCCCTCCTGGTATCCTTATTCTCATTATTGGTCCTGAGGGGTTTATCTGTCCTGGATTCCCTGTGTTTCCAATTCTTATCTGTACCAGTGTACATCCTCTGGTCTAGCCAGATTTGTAAGGCAGAATTGAGATCATGATAGTGGGGCAGGGAGGAAGCATTAAAGAACTAGAGAAAAGTTGTATGTCTCATTGTTGCTATACAGCACCCTGACTGGCTCGTCATCTCCCCGTGACCCTTCTGTAAGGGGATGTCCAGTTGCTTACAGATGGACTTTGGGTCTCCACTCTGCACTCCCCCTCATTCACAATGATATGATTTTTTGTTCTTTGATGCCTGATACCTGATCCCATGGACACCTTGTGATCACACAGGCTGGTGTGCTCCTTCCATGTGAGCTTTGTTGCTTCTCAGCTAGATGGCCACTTGTTTATCTTCAAGTATTTAAGACCCCAGATGCCTTATCTTTTGATAGCTGGGCACTATCAGCTTTCTTCACCACATTTGCTTATGCACCCAGTTTGTCTTCAGCGATCGTGTTGGGAAGGTGAGAATCATGGAATTCCAGGTTAATAGAACAAAGTATTCTTGCATTGAGGTAGTATTTGAGTAGAGGCCCAATGTCCATCTGCTACCTTAATACTAAACCTATAAATATATGCACATAGATCTATTTTCCCGCTGTCATATACAAATATATTTACATATGTATTTAGACCTCTATAAATGCCCTGTGCCTCCCAGTTCTTTCCTCTATTTCCTTTTACTTTCCTCTTGCCTCATTATCATGTTCAGCCTTCATTTGGGTTTCAGTAATTCCTCTCAGTTACATTGCCCTTGATCAAGCCCTACCAGGCCTCCTACACCCTCCTCAGCATCGATTCTGGATCACTTGTTGTTCCCTTGTCCCTGGGTTTGTTAACACCCACTTCCTTTCCTCCACCTCCCCCTCTCCCATGTCCTCCTGGAACCATCGGTCCTGTTGTTTTCTCCTCCAGATTGTTTATCCCGCCTATCTTATCTAGATAGACATACAGAGAAAATAATATGCACACACACAAAAAGACAAAACAAAAACAAGCCAACGACAAAAAAAAAAGAAAGCCTGTAAATTGTTCAAGGTCTGTTTGTTGACCTTTAGGAGTGTTTTCTGGTCGAGTCTGATGGGGTGCCATGCCCTGGCCCCACAGTCTATATTTGGTATTCCCAGGGAACTTTGTTGCTCTGCTCCCCTTGCTGTTCTGTGGCACGCCCTTAGTGTTGTGCCTAGGTGTGGTGGGGTCAGATTGGGTGCATTTCTCACACTGTGTCTCCAGAGCTGTCCCCTGTAGTGCTCTGGGTCAGTGAGGGACGTCGTCGTGTCTCGTAGTGGGGCCAGCCCTATGGTCCTCCCTGTGCCTTGGCTGCTCTGAGCAGGAATATCGTCTTCAGGGCTTGGTGGGTCAGGAGTCGGGCTAGACCTTGGGGAACCCTGAAAGGATTGTGGATTTCAGGTAGAAGAAGGCAGTCTTAAAAGGGAGCCATAGAAAGATCTTTCCAGAGAATTAGAAGAGTGCTGTATCATGAAAATAAAGGGAAGGAAGTCGTCAAATGCTGCTAAGAAGGGCAGATGGAGCCTGACACCATCCTCAAACGTAGCCGTGTGGAACCGATGGGAGACTGAATCAGCCCTCAGACCTCATTAGTGAGACGTCAACGGGAATCGGTGGTGTGCAGGAGAGGGCCACAGATGGGTAGATTTGAGACACTGAGAAAGTGAAAGCAGTCAGACTTGTGTGGTCCACAGTCTGGCCACGGGACCCAGAGACTCTCCTCACAGCTCCTCACCAGCCTCCTGTCATTCCTTCAGCCCTGTATACGTCCTCCATCCCACCACAGGGCCTTGGACAGCAGTTCTCTCTCCCCCGAGCCCAGTGCACTCCTCTTGGTCCTTCAGACTTCAGCCTTATTGTCACGTCCTCAAGAAACACCCAAGATCTCGTGGACATCGTCAGGTCCCCAACTACAAGCTCACGGGCATGGTAGAGCTCCTTCATGGCAGCTATATGGCTAAAAATGGACTCTCTGTGACAGGGTCTGGAATGGGTTTTCCCCTCTGTGTATAACGAGCTCACCTGACTCACAACTGAATTCCCAGTGCCTAGGTAGAGTTAGGTTAAAACCTAACACATTATCATCTGTTTCCCTGCTGACCCATATTATCTCCTACTTTCTCTCGAATTGAGGTTTTTCTGGGTTCGGTTGTTGTTAGAGTTTTTTATATGATTTTCTTTATATGAAATCTAGAGTAAGTAAGCCCATAGAGTCATAACTAGATTTGTACTCCTTAGAGTTACAGCAGGGAAGGTTAGCAGGTAATGAGAGCTAATAGTAACAGGCACAAGAATGAAGAAAATGTTCGAATATTGTGGTGATGATTGCACAGCTCTTTCTAATTTATTTAAACCACTGAATTATATTTTTCATAAATTATATATCAATAAAATGGATGGTTTTTTTTAATGGAAAGGAAAAAAACACTTATTATGGGGGTAAATAAATAAGTAAATATGGGTCCTTGGGTGCTGGGGGGCGGTACAGGGGAGCTGATATCAAGATGTTCAAGAAGAAAGAAAATGTTTTGAAACTGATTGTGGTAGCAATTGTACAATACCGCTTTATGTGATTGAACTATGGAATTGTATGATATGTGTAGGAGCTCCCAATAAAATGATTTTTTTTTAATTCTTACTGGAAAGAAAAAAAAGGAAATCCCACTGCCTAATAATTAATAAGGGCTCTGTAAGCATGTGTTGAATCAATGGATGTCTGAGAAGACACTGGCCTTAGAAGCAACTGGAGGAGCAGCAGCCCGGGCTAAGGCTCTGACACAGGAGAAACTTGGTATGGTCTGGGTGAGGGGC